TCTCTCTCTCTCTCTCTCTCTCTCTCTCTCTCTCTCTCTCTCTCTCTCTCTCTCTCTCTCTCTCTCTCTCTCTCTCTCTCGCTCTCGCTCTCTCTGTCCCGGCCTTCTCCTATGTCCTCTTCCATGATCATTGCCATTTCCATTGCCATCATCATCGCTGTCGATCATCTTCTCTGTCTCCCTCTCTCTCGCTCTCTCTGTTCCGGTCTTCTCCCATGTCCTCGTCCATGACCATTGCCACTTCCATCGCCATCATCGTCGCCTCTCCCTACCTTCCTCATCACCTTCCTGATCTCCTTCTCTGTCGTGTTCTCCAACCTCTCCGTCTGCGCTTTCAGCCTCTCCCCGAACGCTACAGTCAACTCTACTATGTGTTTGACGAAGACCAGGACAGTCCGCTCCATCTGTTTCTCTAAACCGGTGTTGATAGTATGCTGCCACTTTTGTAGCTCCATGATCTGCGTCAGTGTGGCGGATCATTGATTTATGTCAGTGTGGCCGCTGCATCATCAGCCGCCCTGAGGGAAGTTGCAGCAATTCCCTTGAACTCTTTTACAATCTTCTTCTCATCCAGATCTTCCCTCAACTTGTCTGCCTCCTTTTCCTTTGCCACCTGCTGTGCCTGCAGTCGCGCCTTCTCCTTGTTGGCCTTGACTTGGTTCAATGCCTCCCCCAGCTGCTGCTCATCCAGTTCTATCTGATCAAGGAGGGATTGGGCGCTCTGAAGTTGAGCGTCCAGGGGTTCAGGCATGTAAGTCAGGGGCAGGACCCGTTCCACCTCGCTGCAATTGCTTCACAAGGACACCAGCAATGCCCTTTGCTGCTTCCATTTTTTTCCCCTCCATCTCCTCCTCCCCTTCCCTCTTCCTCTCCAATTGCTGTTCTTTTTCTTCTCCAGGCTCCGACTCCTTTTCCTCCCCTTTGCCTTCTTTTTATTCTTCTCTTCCTCCTTTTCTCCTCCTTCCGTCTTCTTTCTGTGCCTTATTTTTATTTTTCTCTTCCTCCCGCCTTCTTTCTGTCCCCTTCGGCTGAGGTCTCTGCCACTTCCTCTTTATTTTTCTTGGTTCCTCCTTCTGCTCCTCCTCCGTCTTCTTCTCATACTCTCATCTCCGGCTGTGGATTCTGTTTCCCACCTCGAATTTCTGTTGGGGCCATCCAGTGGGCCCTTGGTATCCCTAACGGCCAGATAAACAGCAGCAGGGGCCGCCACAGCACCGGAAGTAAGAGGAATGCACATTGTGTAATCATCTATGGGGGTGGTGATGTGCGACAGTCAGTCAGGTAAGGCCCCATTCCACAACCTACTACCAAACTTAGACCTACCCAGCAACTGAACTCGATGAGCGCTCGCTTAATTAGCCCGCGCCGCTCTGTGTCCATGCTTGCTACTTTAACTGGGTACGTACCAGCTGTCGAGCACTACCTATCTACAGCATGCAACCTCCTGGTGGCCTCAACCTAATTGACAACAACATAGATTGACGGCAGGACATCCTGGGAGACCGATATGTCCAGAAATCGAAGAACTACAATGCAGCATACAAGGTTGGGGTTGGAAAGCACTTCACTTCGATGTTGATGAGGATTCTCCTCGGCACTCCACACTCCAATCGCAGGTTCGTGTCCCCTCACCTTGACCACTTCTTCTTCGGTCCTCCCTTCTTTTTCCTTGCCACCGCCACTCGGGTCAACACTGGCTGACCTTTTACCAAATCCGCTGGCTTCAGGTCAAACGCCACTTGGAAGAGAAAGAGAGTCTGCTCTGATACCACTGCGATGAGACCACCATTCATGAAACACTCGTACACAGATCCTGCATCGCACCACACTGGCAGATGGCACACGAAGTCCAAAAGAGTCTCAATAGTCAACGCAAACTTGGTCGTCTTCTCTGTCACCAGCGGCTATGACCGCTCAACTCAGCGTGCAGGTCTCTCTCTCTCTCTCTCTCTCTCTCTCTCTCTCTCTCTCTCTCTCTCTCTCTCTCTCTCTCTCTCCTTCCCTCTCTCTCTCCCCCCCCCCCCCCCCCCCCCCCCCCCCCT